ACTGTTTCCTACTATTTGAAGGATTTTTACCTTTATTTCAAATGATTTCACTTCAATTTTTAGAGTTATTTTTAAAAGGCCATCTAGGGACAAGTGCTGCGAATTAGCTGTTGCTATTGCACCATGATGCAAACATGGGACTGCTGTTTCATTCAGTTTGTCTATGTAAATGTGTGTCTGTCCCTATCAAATAAACTTTAATAATAATAATTTTGGGGACCTCTCAACTGGTCCCAATAAGGGACTCTACCAAAGGCAGCAATACTGGGTTTATTTAGCATTATTTCACAAAATGTAAACCCCAATCCATCCATGGCATGACATTTTATTGTATAGTCAAGAGAAATGCTCAAGTCTGTAAAAATTACATTATTATTTTCTCTTCACTTGACACAAAAACAACCCATGTGAAGCTGACATCATTTAGGATTTTCAAATCAGCTTAAGTAGAAGATTAAAACCCTAAATAATTTAAGGCCATAGATTGTGCACTTAGAATATTGTTTTATAGTTGAAATACAAATAAAAATGGTGTAATTACATGAAATAAATGTTTTTATATTTGTGAAAAGTTCATTTGTTATTAAAAATTGTATATAAAGAGAATTTATATTACTATTATTAGTATGTGAAACATATTTTTAATAATTTCTGAACGAAATCTTAGAAAAAAAATTTAATTTTTAATGATATCTTAATTAACGGAGATGTCCTTAATGAGCCATTTTATTCTGTGCTGGAGACGACTAAATAACTTACCATGTAGACTGAACCCTGGGGAGGAGCCTGTTTGGGAGGATAAGAGAACAAAAATAGTGTTAATGAACAGCCAGTAACAAGAAAGGAGAGAAAATGGAAAAGGAGGATGAAAGCAAAGTATAAGAAGTACACTTCAGAGAGAAGACAGTGACAAGAAAGTGAACCTGAGAGACAAAAGGGAGAGGCTAGAGAGGTAAACACTAGTGGGAGAAGAATAGAAGAAAGGATATAAGGAGTGAAATTCATCAGAGGGGATTTTGTTCTTGAAAATGCCTGAATTCATCACCTGTCTTATATCCTCTGGATTCTCATAGATGTTCTCCGCTTCACCAGACTGGACAGACAGTGACTGCTCAATACCTGAAAGCAGAGAGAAGCGACAGGACGCACTCTCATGAAGTGGGGGCACATTCATTACAACAAGCCCAGAGGATGTCATGGCCCACATCACTCAGACGTGGGGCCGACAGGGGGCCTGGAGATGGACGGAACAACGGAGAAGCTGTCAAGAAATAAATCGCTGGAAGACTCACCACGATCAGAAATGTGTCTCTGTCTCCATAGCAACACGCCAACAGCTGCTGCAACCAGGGGGACCAGGAGTAATAAAGCAGAGAGAGAAGGGTGCGGAGAGGAGGTAGTGATGGTGACACGCTCTGCAACAGGGGTGGGGTGTAAAAAGAAGCAAAAGGACAAAAACATGAATGTCTCAGAGCAAAGCTAATGTTAAACACACAAGGGTGAGTGGATGGCCCAGAACTTATCTGTGTTTTGCTGTTTGGGTCAAGATGGAGCAACCTTATTTTTTTTTAATATTCATTTTGTTATGAAAGGACCTTGCAGTTGCGGTTTTCCCGCGAACATGTTTCATGCATTTGCATCATGCTGCTGTCAGTCACAGGCAATGATTGTTGTGGAAGATGATGAGAAAATCTGAGACGTTCTTAGGCACAGAGGGTAGCCTCTGGAAATCCTTTGCAGATATCAATCAGATATACCTCCAGTTTGGACTGCAAAACCTGACAATTTAAAATGGCATCTTGGAGACCAGGTGTCAACTGATGCTTACACCACTTCCGTACAGAGTGGAGTTTACAACTGCATAATTATTCCATACCCTATTCCCAAAACAAACAGGATAGAATCTAGATATTCTCTCATTTTTTCCTTTTTCCTCCCCCCTGATTTCTGCATTGAGCTACTGCCTCCAGGCAAAAATATAAACATAACAAACAGCCAGGCACATCAATACAGCTTTAAAAACAGGTGAGCTAAAAAGTGATCAACACACACATTACATAAGCATACTATTATCTTACTGTTGTGCTATTCAAATTTCATGGGAAGAGTGCAGCTTTGTGAAGTCCTTGTTTGCATACTGAGGATTACATCAGTGTTGCAAAACAGAGCCACAGGGAAGCTGGGTTATTCCTCAGCTGTCTTCTCCACATTCATGGAGTACAAACCAATTAGATATCTGCCAGGCATCCTGAAAAGATTCGTAATAAATGTCAAATTGCTTTTGAGCAAGCTGAGGCTTTTATTAATACGCCAGTTATAAAGGCTTAAAAAGTTTCCACAAGCTTTGAACTTTTTTCCCCCCACTGCAATCACCCAGTTTAATGTATTTTTGGGGGGTTGATGATGGAACAAAAACTACACAGTAATTGTGAAGAAGAAGGAAAGGCATTTAATCTTTAGCTACAGCAGTAGGGTTTTTTGCTGGTAGTGGTGGTGGGTTCTGTTTCTATTAGCGTTACAGCTCTAAAAAACAGAATTTTTATTTAGAAAATAGCCTAAGTTCAGTTTTTATATTAGATTTACATTAATATATTCTTTTACTGGGCCTTGATCTAAACCAACAGTTTTTGGCCCTGGCCATATGTTTTTTTGTCATCATCCTTCTGGAAGGAGGCCATTCTACCCAGCGTAACTCTAGAAGGGCTTCTTACAGGTAGAAAATCACACCTGCAGGATGAGGCCGCCACCCATACTTATTTGTAAAGGAGTAAATGGGGCTGAATACTCATACAGACCACATTTGAGATTTGTACTTTAAAAAATGTTGAAAAACATGTATTTTTTTATGTTAAATGAAAAGAAATAGGGAAAATCACATGGTATAACATGTTGGAATTTCTTCTGGTTTGACTAAGGCCTTCATTCAACCTGGTAAAACTTTAATTACCTTTTGCAACATTAGTAATCTAGAGCTGCATAAAATTTTTGCCCAAATCTTGTAGGCTGTGGAAAACACATCCTAATTATTCTCAGTGGGGTGAAGGTCTGGGTTCTTTGCTGGCTAATCCATGTGTGAAAATGATGTCTCATTTCCTTGAACCACTTCTGCACAACTTGAGCCTGGAGCTGTCATGTCGAAGCATGCCCACACCATCAACGAAGAATAAATTCTTGGTCCTTGCCTACATTCAGGTAAGCAGTTGAACTCATTTTTTGGGCACATGACCTTAAAAGACCTACACTTGACCAGCTGTATCAACCCAGATCATAGCTCTGCCCCCAGAGGACTGTACCTCTGGAAGAGGATAAATCTAGATCGTATGGATTGCTCCAGAGCCAAGTCTTTATGCTCTGTAGCAAAGTGAAACCTTTTCGACTGAATAGCCTCACTGATCAGGGGTTTTCTTAGGGTCACAGAGCTGCTTAGTCCCAAACCCCTGAATTTCCATCTCATTGTGTAGATAGAAATACTTTTAACCAGTCCACCCCTTCATACTGTAGTTATTGGGGCTTTTCTTTTTGTAAAACTCAATTTAAAGATTAAGGCATAAGTGTTATGTTTTTCTTTCTTTTTCGCCAATCATTTTCTCTAACATATGAGGTTTGTGTATTTCTTAATAAATAACTAAATCCTAATAGGATAAAACATTTCAGGGGTTTGATTGCTTATTTAAGCATTGTAAGTAAAATTCAGTCCTTTTTTTATCTTTAAATGATTTCTATTTGAAAAAAATAACTGACCCTTGAGTCTCACCCTGACCTCTGTGTCACGGTTTTAACCGGTTTCAGAATGATCCATCAATTATGTGCTGTGTGAGGAGTAATTGATTGAAGAATAAATGCAGGGGATGCTAATGGAATACTGTAGTGCTATAGCTGACCCCAGGACTGCCACGCACAGCCTCCCAGGCTAGCTTTAATGCATGCATTATGTTAATGGAGTGCAGTGAAGTGAGGCCTAGATCGGTAAATTTCACAGGTCTCTGCAGCGGCTCCTCTTTCTATCCTTCTGTCTCCACAATCGGCACTTACTCCCGTTCTCTGCTGTTTCATCTCAAATGAGGTGGTGGTGGTGGGGTGATTTATATCACAGTAATTGTAGTGTGGAGTGGCGCAAAGGATGCAGACCAAAGTAATGCTTGAATGCTTCCCAAAGGATGAGTAAATTGAAGATATGGAAGAAAATCCCTCACACTGAAAGTATTTTGTGTGCTGCTGAGCACTTTGATTGCTTCAATTTGGTTTTCTTTGTACTATGCCATCTGCAAAAGAAATTCGTTATTATATTGTGTTGTGTTTTTCTTTTTTCACATTTTGAATAACCACTCTATTTTATCTGTGTTTTAGATATCCGGAAACAAATGAATACACACTAGGGTGCCATGCTGAAGTAAGCTACACATACCCCTTTGAGCTTTTCCACTTTTCTTATACATTGTATTTTGGAAGGTTATCCTACGACCAACCAAGTTTATGCAAACAGATGCACTGACGTGGAAGAGATTTTCCACAACTTCTATAATGTGCCTCCTTTCTACCGATACCTCTAAATAAAATCTGGGGCTAGTGATTGTCTTCAGATCTCACCTAAAAACCAAAAGGATGCCATGCAATTTAAGCACAGTACAAACGCAGTTCTTCTGTGAAGGCCTGAGAGGTTTGTTAAGGAACACACAGCCTCTACTAAACACAGCAACACAGACAGGTGAAAGATATAGATGTAGAGAAGCAAAAAAGGGGAGATTTAAAGCTTTGGTAGGAGAATTTGCTGGCAGCACAATGAATGATATATTTGCCTTCTGCAAACCTAATCTTTTTGGAGAGTGGTGAAAAACATTGCTGAAAAACCCACAACAAGTATTGCTTGAGGTTTGAGTTAAGCTCTAAATAGGAGAAATCAGACAGTCAGAGTGCATAAAAATGAAATCAATTTTTCCTGAAATGAACACATTTTTTCTTGAATTAAGCAGGTAAGTGAAACACTTTTCCAATGGAATAAGACAATTTACATATCAAATAAGAAAAAACAAAAGTGCATAACATCTAAATATCTTATTTAAAGGTTAAAAATGCTCATTCCAGTGGCGGATTATCCTATTTATCTACTCAAGTTAAGGGTAAATACACTTATTTTAAGAAATTTCTACTTGTTTTTCAATAGTTTCTGCAGTGTAAAGGAAGGTAAAACTCTCAGATGAGAACAAAATAATAATCTTTCACTTAAATGGACATGGAATAGAATTTGGTAGCACAATCATGCTATAAAATTACTTTTCTTTAGCTGGGTCAGAGTTCATTGGATTTTTTTTTTCAAACTAAAGACAAAGACTAGGTAAAAACCTGTCAGAGCCCTGGGAGACTTGAGACTGGGGAGGAAGTTCACATTCCTGCAAAATAACAACCTAAACATACATCCAGTGTCATGATATGCCCTGATAGCTTACCTTAATTATTTACTTCATTCACCTGTCTAACCCTGCCCGGTTCCTCAATCTGTTGATTTATATTCGGCTCAGCCCAGCTATTGGGGCCAGATCATTGCTTGATTCCTGTTTGTTTGTCTCATTAGTTTTAGTTAAGTCCCTGGTTCATGTTGCTGTCCATGGAGGCCAGTGGATTGAGAGGGTTTTGAGTTTGTCTCTTGTCTTCTGATCGTTTCCCGGCTGTTGTGCACGGAACCCTCAGGGTTTTGGCTCGGAATGCGGGGACAGTCGGTTTTAAATCCCATAAGCCTGGCTCCTAGTTGGAGACCAGTTTAAAGTTCCTGCAATTATTCCTAATACAATGTCTTGTCTCTGTCCCACAACCTCTGAGCCTGCCTGTCTGCATCTGTGGGTTTCTATCTGAGCTTGTTGCTAAACGCAAGAAACTTCTTTCTGATGGATCTGTCTGTTCCTGTGTGGATCAGAACCCCTGACAGGGCTGGGGACTCCTGGATTCAAGAACTGTTCCTGTCTGATCTGTTTCCCTAACTTGAATTGGATTCCTGTCTGCTTGCAAAGTTTGCTGCGGCGGGGGGCACTCTCTGGGTGGCTCTGTGCTACTGCTTGTTTGGTACTGTAGTCCATTGGCTGGATCTTGCCTTCGGAGAGGAGGCCCTGAACTGTTAAATCAGGTAAGTGACTCACACGGATAATCATCTTCCTTCCGATTTTCCCACATCCAGAGTGCCGGTGATGGGTTGTTCCCCACCCCCTTCAGCCGCTGCAATCTGCAGTTCCACAGCTCCCCATGTCTGCTCTGTTATCTTTATTATAATAAACATTTTGAACTTTCCCACTGCCTGTCTAACCTTGAATAGTGGGCCCATCTGTCCCGTTTCATGACAGCCAGGTTACAGTGGATGCTAATGTGTTAAAAATGGTCCAATCAAAGTCCAGCAATTTTTCCACCTAACGTCATGCGCCTTTTCTCATAATATGTGGTAAAAAAGAGGACCCGAATGCAGAAACAGATGACGGAGGTGATGTTCTGGGTTTTAATAACAATAAACAAGAATATACAGGAACCAACAGGAGGGAAATGGGAGAATCAAACAAGGAATCGATGAAAAAAAAGTAGCTTAGACACTAAAGCTACTACAGCTTTAGTGAACCAGCTGTAGGAGTGTGTTGAACTAAGGGGAGGAGATTAATGAAAGCACACAACATGGTCAACTATCGTTGATACTGGCCCTACATAATCTATGACTACATTGAAATCCCAAAATATATCAAAGTTTGTGGTAGAGCAGTAATGGTGAAAAAACGTGAAAAACAGTTGAATGGGATATGAATACTTTTTAAAACACCTTAGACTTTGGTTTTCTTCAGGGCAAATAAGAAACGCTGTGATAAAATGTTCAAATGTGATAAATGTTCTTTCTTCCTAAAAGTGCTATTTATATATCTTTAGATGTCACCTCTTATGGTTACATTATTCATTTTTACCCACGGATTTTTTTGTAACCTTGCACATTTGCAGTATTTGTGCAACCTGACACTTTAAACAGTGTTATGTAGGCCAAACAGCGCTCAGTTTATTTGAACTTTCTATGCTGCTCAGTCAAAATTATTTATATATATATATATATATTATAATGTCCTGGTATAAACTTACCCTTGATGGGCATCAGGGCATCATAATCAGCTCCGGGTCTTTTAGCCAAAGTGATGTAGTGGATTGCAGTGAGGTAACTAGTCTCCGCTGAAGGGATCCATTTAACTGTCACATCCTCCTGTGCTACCCCACAGCCAGCAATACAATAAGCCTGAATAATTTAGTTTTTGTGAGAATAGATGTCCCAAGGTCCTATCTTATTATAGTCACATATTAGATAGGTAAGGGCGATGAAAGAAAGAGAAAGAAATCTTTTATATCTTTTATGTTTTATAGAAGAGGAATCTGCACACAAAATTACCTAACCTTGCAGTGCCAGGCATATTCATTTTGGTTTGAGCTTATCTGATATGTCTACCGCTTAAAAAAAAGATCAGTTCTTTTTACACACAGCTGCTGCATCAAGTTAATAAAAGTGCTTTGCCCCCTTACAAGTTTGTTCTTCTTTTGCTTCAAATCATTAAAATTTTAATACCAGACAAAGATTGAATTATAAATGCAGTTTTAAAATTATGGTTTTTGCCTTTTTTTTATTGTTATCCAAACCAAGCTGACCCTGTGAAAATAGGGTCAGGTTGTCAAAGGCTACTGTACCAAATACAATCCACGGTTTTGATTCAGTTTTACAAGCCAGAGCCAGGCCTGATTTCATTCCTTGATAATTCCACTAACCGTGTTTGGAGGAAGAAGAATGATGAGTGCCATCCTAAGAACACCATCCCTACTGTAAATCATGGAGGTGGTAGTGTCATGCTTTAGGGTTGTTTTTCTGCATATGGGACAGGGCGACTGCACTGTATTAAGGAGAGGATGACTGGGGCCATGTATTGCGAGATTTTGAGGAACGACCTCCTTCCCTCAGTTAGAGAACTGAAGATGGGTCAATGCTGGGTCTTCCAACATGACAGTGACCCGAAGCACACCGCCAGGATAACCAAGGAATAGATCTTGAAGAAGCATATCAAGGTTCTGGCATGGCCTAGCCAGTTTCCAGACCTAAACCCAATAGAAAATCTCTGGATTGAGCTCAAACTCTGTGTTTCTCAGCAATAGCCCAGAAACCTGACTGATCTAGAGAAGATCTGTGTGGAGGAGTTGGCTAAAATCCCTCCTACAGTGTGTGCAAGCCTGGTAAAAAAACTACAGGAAACATTTGACCTCTTTAATTGCAAACAAAGGCTACTGTACCAAATATTAACATTGATTTTCTTAGCTCTTGAAATACCTATATGCAGCTTTGTGATACAAATAAATAGTTAAAAAAATCATACATTGTGATTTCTGGATTGTTTTCTGTTTTTGTTTTTAGATTTTTTTTTTAGATTATTTTTAGATTATCATGGTGGACATGCACCTACATTGACAATTTCAGACCCCTCCATGGTTTCTAAGTGGGAGAACTTGCAAAATAGTAGGGTGTTCAAAGATTTTTTTTCCCATCCTGTAGTTAAAACAAAAAGTAATATAGGTAGTATGTCATTTAATGATTCCACATTATTATCTGATTTTTGATATTAGATGAAAAAAACAATGTTTCCAAAAACAAATTTGGTTTGTTAAAAGCATAAAATCTCATATTTTCCTGCATGTATTGCTTGTATAAGGCTTTATTTCTACTGGATTTCTTAAAAAAAAAACTTATGCTCAAAAACATTTTGTCCTTTGACCCTCTGAAGTAAATATAAAATTTGACATATGGTATCTGTCAGAGGACGTTCTCGTTTTCAAACCGCAGGATTTCTGGCGGATGAACTCTTTTATCCGCAGCAGATCGCTTCACGGAGCACACATCCTTGTATTTTCTACACTCATGGTTCATTATCTCTGCAGATCTGACAGGAAGTCCGCCAGGACTCAGTGATTCTGAAATAATACCCTTGATCTAAGAAAAACAAAACATCACAAAGCAGAACATAAACCATCTTCCCAAAATTACATCTCACCTGTTGGGGGCACTGTGACAGTTTCAACTGCCCATATGCTCTGGCCGTTTTTCAACTGCAGGATGCAGGTGTAATTCCCTGCTGCATCAGGGCTGATGGGCAGCGGCAGGATGGTGCTGATGCTGCCAGGGCCGTTGCTTGACATCTGCAGCTGCCGAGTCTTATCTTCATGTTTCCACACAACACTCTGAACCTCTGAGCGCTCTGAGTACCGGCACAGCAGCTCCTGGTTTGTCGGATAATTGTAGATTTTGACTGTAGGAGAAAAAGGATGGCATAGGAAAGAGAAACCAGAAAGAAGAATGCGTTTGTGAGAAAAAACGATCAGCTCGGATGAGAAATGAGAAAGAGTTGAAATGTTTGTGTGTGAATATTTAAAAGGGCAAGAAGGGAAAAAGAGTAATGAGGGAAGGGGACTGTGATATGAAAAACACAGAACAATCTGAGGAAGGGTCAAAATAATATATATTCATTAAAGTGATTTACTGCTAATGCATTGGTTGACTGTGACTGATGCTGGGTGTCTCATCAAACTGTAATAAGAATCCATCTGGGCGTAATCAAGCCCTGCAGATCCCCACCTAACACACACACATGCCTAAAAACACACACTTCAGCCTTGATTAGTGTGATCAGCGTGGGCCACCCACAGCCTCGATGGGAGGGCAGCAGGTATAATCACACATAATGATACTTCTAACGACGGAGGGGTAAAAATATATGCCTCACATGATTGGGGAGTGGGTAGAGGAGTGTATGTGTGCAACGGATGCAGATTTGTGAAGCGACGTGACAATGACAGTGACGGATCGACCGGTCATGTCTGGGCAGCTGTGATGGATGCCGGTGGAGCTGTGATTAGTAAAGCCTTCCAAGGCCAGCCTGACAGGCTGTTGTAAGTGTACCAGAGCATGTTGAGTTTTTGTATCTGCGGGTGTGTGTGAGTGCTCCTGCAAATATAGGGGGAGAACTCCCTGAGGCATGCTCATAATAATCAACAGGTGATTAGCTGAATTTTAAATTTATGAATGAAATATATTTCTCTTTCAGGTACAATAATACAGTTAATGTTTTCATTTAATAATGCCACAGTCTTCAAATGGCCCCAGGACACGTATTCTTCATTTGTTATTCTCACTCAGAGTCAGTGAATAAAGCCCTGAAACCAGTAAAAATGTAATGTCTCACTCAAGGACTCTTCAGCAGGGGCGATGATTGCTAAAATACCTCATGAGACAGGTGCTCCGGTTAGAGGGTTGTCTCTCTAAACGCTGCCTCATGTTAGATCAGTGGTTGTCATCTAAAAGCTTTGCAAATGCATCAGTTGAGATTAACATGGTGAACATTTTTGAAACCCTGTGGCTTTCATGTTTATGCATAAAGTCACAGAGTAAATAAATACAGGTGCAGGGTGATAGTCTTCGTAGTTATACAGTTTAGGTTTTTGAAATATTTGTTTACACAAAGCCACATAAGATGAAAATTTTACTTGCAGCTTAGAGGAATTGTAGAAATTTGCTTTTCCCCTAAATGGGCAAAAAGTGCCTTTTGAATAATAGATTTATTGATAAGAGAGCCCAAAATCGAACATTTTAGCAACAAAAAGACGAAAATTTGGAAGGGTCAAGGTGAGGTTGTCAGACTTCTGGTGGTTATATTGTCCTGTGCAATAAATTCCTTGCAAATTATACTGTTTACTGTACAAAAAGTGTAAAAATTAAAATGAAGGATTGCCTCCGAGGATTTCAATTTCATCTGAACAGCTAGACAGCTGGAGCAACAGCAGCTGAGAAAATACTGCACTGAAACAAAGGATTTGTCCTACGTATACCACAACTAAAAAATTGCAGCTGCACAAATAGATAAACTTATGGGCTACTGGAAACACATGTTATATGGTTAGATGAGCAGAAACATTAGGCTTTCTGGCCATAATGATGTTTAATGAAGTCAAAGTTAGGCTTAATGCTGGGGGTCTGTTTCACTGTCATTGGTACTGCATAGCAACAGTGGATGCAGTCATGGATCGGGAGGGGAACTCAACCCCCCAAAAACAGATAGATACAGTAGTAAGAACAACACAAACTGCTTGTGCTGATCAAGAAACCCTACCCTTGGTACGGGATGGGTCCCTGCCTCTACTGGGTGACTTTGCATTTATATTTTTGTTTCTTGTAATGGCTGGATAGAGTAGGAAAAAGACAGAAAAAGAACAGCCCTCAATTTATTGCCATGTCTGCATCCCACCCATGGTAGTTTGTAAAGGCCAGGTGAGTACAGTTAACTTTGCTTGTTGTAACTGCTAGGTGCAACAGCAAGACAAAAAAAAAAAAAAAAGAATAGAAATGAAATCAATTTTACCTTCAGTTAATAAGGGAACATGGTTAGTAACTAGTATTAAAGTATTTTTGAGTAAATTGAAGTACTTATTGGTAAAATATGTGATCTCCTTTGCAATTGAAATGAACTATACTAATTTAATAAGCTATGCATGACAATGGACCATAACAATGGCTCGGACTATTGTTTTTTTGCTTTTGTCCAGCTCTTATGATGGTTGATGATAGGGATGAAATCATCATTTAAACACCAGTTCTGGCATTCTCGATGGATGCTATATGGATCATAATCCGAGGATTGATAATCCATAATACAAGCTGTCGAAATTAGTTTCCTCTATACAGTAGGAGGGCTGACTCCTACAGGCAGGGTGGGGAGCTCGAACAAATAGGGGAGAACAAAGTAGAGCTGCTGCTTTTCTGCATAAAAAGAAGATAAGATGGTTTAAATTCCAGATGGACCACTGGATGCCACCCTCTGGAGGTTTTTGTGGGAGTTCTGACTGAGGAGACCCTCTTGAAGACCCACAACTCTCTTGGGAGAGTATATACCCTGTTAAGCCAAGGATTGCTCCCTTTGGATGCCTAAGAATGAAATTGGGGATGTTGGTGAAGGAGGTACCTACATTATTAAAGTCTCCGCATCCAACCCTCGTTTTTGGAAGTCCTTTAAGTTAGATTTGTGACTAAAGACTAAACAGAGGTTAACTCAGACAAAACAATGCTGAGCACAGTTGTTAACACAGTTCTATACATTTATATTCACTGCGTGATTATCAAGCATCCTTTGTTGTAGGAGGCCAGCTTAAGGAGGTGAGGTGCTTTACCATTTAAAAGATTAATCTAAATAAAATTCAAACTACATCCCAAGAGATTCCTGCCACCAGTCTTCTATTGTTCCTCCAACTGCTGACAAAGACTTTCCTCATAATTTATGGCTTGCCAGTCACATTTTTAATGGAACAATGAGATGAGAAAGAGCTTTAAGAGACAGCAGATTCTTGATGGAATCTCACTGTGGTCCCAGTCTCTTCTTTTTCTGTAAGCATCTCCACAACAATTGCAAAGTCTTCTGCTTTACATTTATGTAGAAACAGCAAAAGAGTTCAGTGTTTCTGCGACTAATGATGTGGCAACTGACAGAAGTTCTTTCTTTATGCTTCATAAGCTTGAGTTTATCAACCATCCTCAAGCTGACATGACACCATTACTTCATAATTTTGTTTTCTCTGTGGCAAAGAGTTTCCAAAACTAATGTTTTTATTTGTTTATATTTATGACTCACTTTTTGGTTCACAAAGACCAAAAAAAAAAAAAAAAAAGTGAAAATAGAAAAACAAAAAAGGTTATTGTCAAGCAGAGTTTTTTCTAAACTTACTGGGGAGAGGAGTCCTGAATGATAAGCTTCAAAGATGCACTATTCCATTTAGGAGAGTTTGAGCAGCAGCATTTATCATTTGACTTTTAGAGCAAGGTTTCCTTCAAAGATTTACTGAACACTTATATTATGTTTGCTTGCAGATGGAGTAAATAGTTATGTTCTGACATATGGGATGGTTTATGAGATGTCTAACTCTAACAAAGTGTTTTGATAGCAAAAAACCATTAATAGTTTATGAAAATAACAAAGATTGGGATTTTTATTAGAGGAGAAAAGAATAATATAATAATAGTGACCACAGATCAACTCGTGGGTTTGGATTTTAATATAAGTGATTGTTAAAATCATGATGTAATAATATAAAATAGTATAAGCATATGCTTTAAAAACTTATTTAAACTGTAGTTTTTTTGACAAGGGTGTTCAACCCCTTTTTGCCAGAAAATTAATTGAATAAATCATAGTTAAGATATAAAGTACAAATTGTAAGATAGTACTGTAGTTTTAAACATATTAGAGGTATAAACAATATGCATTGTTCAGCAGGTTTTCTGCATAGAAATATATAGGAGTTTGGGAAAACACATGCTGTGTATATACAAGACTAAATATTTGTTTGTTACAGAAAATATCTTTTATTAGTCAGATCTAAGAAAATTCGGCAGCAGTGTATCCAGTCCAATCTATTCAGCTTCTTTTAAATGTGATTTTTTTTTTTATTGTAGACATTATTGCATGTTACACTCAAAGTATTCTCCAAAAAGTTGACAGGGTTTTTTTTTTTTTTTATCATAGATACAAACTGATGACAGTGCCCCATGAGTAAAATTGAATCATAGAGCAAAAATTACATTACAGAGGGGATGTTTTTCTATCCCTGCCACAATTTCCCTTCTGAAGTTAATTATTTAAACAATGATGTAAGTAGAAAAAATGTCGAGAGCAATAACCAAACTTCAACAACTAAGTGATTCATATTTTTCAGTTTATGAAACCTCCTGAAGAATTGATTAAACAGGGATAGTTGGATGCATTTGGTTGCTTTTTATAATACAGACGGGAGCAGGTTATGCTGGTTAGTCATTTTAACAGGGATGGATTATGTATATTTGTTTTTAGATGTCGTGATTTGAGGGGACTGAGTAAATTCACAAATGAATGACAGGATTTTATACCTTTTTTTTTTACAGTAGTATTGAAAATGTTTGGATGCTTATTCTAAACATTTTCTTCTAAATGTGTCCCAAAAAATATGATCTTGTGTCTCATATGTCAAATCTCTTATATTATTTTTAAGTGTTTGGTTTTCGGTTGCAGTTATGTTTTAATAATTTTCCTGCTGTGTTTTCTAACCTGTGGCCGTTCTGTTCATTTCTTTGTATTTATTTTCATAGTTTATTCTTTTAGACTTTTCCCTTGATGTTATGTCTGTGTCTTAGTTCAGCTCCATCTATGTCTTTTAGTCTTCCTCCCTGAGTGTCAGCGCTCCACTGATTAACACACCTGCATCCAATGTAATTTCCCTTCCCCTCTATCAGGCGAGATCACTGGCTCTCATTTTTCTTTGCTGAATTCAGATAATTTCTCACTTTCTCTTTTTGCTATATATTATTTGCCACTTTGGCTGCCTGTATTTCTGCCTCTGTCCCTTAGGTCTTTTTCTTATCAACAAATGTGACATATACAAAATGCAGGCTTAAAAGCCAACAATGCTTGTTTTAGATGGTTTAGAATGCAAATATAACTTTCAAGCAGACCTAAATAACCACCATCCCTATGGTGAAAATAATCAGTTTCACCATAGGGATCCTTTTTAAATGTGAGGTGTTTAGCAGGTACAGTAAGCCCCATATTTCAGTTTTGGTGTAAACATCAATTCTTATGTTTTTCCAACTGCTTCACCCCTCTTACCTTTCAGAACACTAAGTCTAATCCACTGGCTGAACACCACATCATTAAGGTATACTTCACAGATGTAGAGGCCTCCATCCTTTAATGCAGGTGTGAGTAGGAAGGAGAAGTTTCCAGCGTTGGGGTCATAGGGCGGACCAGCTAGCTGGAGTGTGTTGCTCTGCTTTGAGGTGGAACTCCTCCAACGGTCATACTGGTACACTAGCTTCATCATGTTGTGATTCTTTGCATCTGGTCGAAGCCAATGTAGCGTGACGAAGTCGCCCTCGATGCTGGGGCAGGTCAGCAGAAGGGATTTATTAGCCTGAGTGGCAGTAGAAATCATTTCGCCTGCAAGCAAGGGAAAGAAACGGAGGGGAGAATATTATAGTTCACAAAGACTGGCTGATTAGCGGTTCTGAGCAAAAGGTTGATAACAAGGAGGTTAAGACAGGAAATAAACAGAATTGCCAAAGATTAATGAAATGAAGGCAAAAACCCACAGCAATTAGGATTAAGTTTTTATAAGCTGAGAATCACCTCTGACCTTCAGCCCCACCTGATTAGCAGGTAGCTGACAAAGGACTTTCAAGGTGCTTCTGTTGGAGTTACTTACTGTGTATAATATTGGTGAATGAGGCCACGCTGTTCGCTAAAAAGAGAGAGGAAGAACAATAAAAAAGGGAAAGGAACAAATAATGAATAATATATAAACATAGCAGCTCTATTATTCAGAGTAAGAATTCTAGTGCAGATCAAAAACACGCTTCGGAATCTCAAAACCCTTTTATGAAGTAAATACTTTAAGAAACAGGATTCCTGAAAAGATAATGCTTCTGCTCCTCTACTTTCTGGGTTTGAAGCTTGTTTTCATTAAAATAAAATACAGTTGTACGATTTTCATCCTGCAGCTCTCTCTCTCACCATCAACTGTCACATCCACATTTGCAGCCAGAACACCAGTGGAGTTTCCCCAGAGGTGGACCGTACAGGTGTAAGTCCCAGCATCACTGATCTGGACCTGCGGCACTTTAGTCACTGTGCCTGAGTCCGACCACTTCTCTGTCTTCATGGGAAGGCCGCCAGGTGCCGTCCAGGCAATTTTGGAGACAGAAATGTCAGGATTGATTCGGGCGAACAGCCGCAGGGTGCTGTACTGACGGACAGGCACAGCAGGGAAGAAGCCAACTGCAGAATGAACACACAAAACCAGCAACAGAAAAAAAAAATTAAATGCAAAATATACTAACTTTTAATTCTTGTATTTATTTTTTCATAGCGCATCAAAAGTAGAGCAGATAAAAAAGGCCTTAATCTCCTTGAATTTTTTTTTAGATTAGTCTAAATTGGGTTTAAAATATTCATCCTCCAAAGACATTAAGATCTACAAAGATAATCAAAAATCTCTTTTTTTATTTTATATTTGTTAGATTTTGTGAAGTTAAGATGAATAACTATTTTTCATCTGTGATGCACAACTATCACAAAATACATTTATTCTTGTGATGAAAATTATTCCATCAGAGATGCACAGACTTTTTGGTTGAACAATTGTGAACATTTACAAGGTCAGAGTATCTAAAGTGCAGGAAGACTTGTATACATGTGATAGTTGTGCACTTAATTAAGAAGTACATGAGCACAACGACCAAAACAAATATTTCAACTGAGAAAATTATTGCTGCAACGATACATTAATGTGTTGCAGCTCACTGAAATTCAGCATAAAACATTTAGAACCAGAGACTTAAAAAGGAAGGAATATCACAAAATAATTTGTGAAACATTAAAATGAATTAAAATTAGAAATAAAACTATGAATAAAAATTTAAGCCTTCTTATAATTGCCCTCCATAGTACAAAATATCCAGAAAAAACTCAGGGTTCATTGCTTTTTTTTATGCTTTTGTAACATTTTCATGTTATAACCTTTAATGTATTTTGTTCGGACTGCGTGAAGCACAAACAATTATACAGCAAGTAATGCTCAAGTAGAGAGAGTATTTTTTATAACAACAAAAAAATCTAGAAAAGTGGGGTGTGCAGCTTATTCAGATTCCAGACGTATTTGCACCTGAATAAAACAGAATACAACCAATTGGTCTTACAAGTGAACAAACCAATAGTCCTTCTGTGTGTAATTTAATCACACATAGGATTTTAGAGAACTTTTGTGAACAAGAAGAATCATTAAGACCAACAGTTTAAACACAGCAAACAGGCCAGAAATGTTTATTTAAAACATTTGGAAACAATTAAGATGTAAAATATGTTGTCTTATAAACAGTGGAGAAATAGTAGATATAAGACTGACTAAATGTTAATTATTTAAAGAACTGCTAAAACTGCCAAAGTAAGAAAGTTTTACTTCTGCGGATATAAGCTGGAGGGAACATTAATGCGGAAGTTGGTACACTCTAGTAATCTGACCTTCATGATAAAGTGGCAGGAAGGAAGTCATTAGAAGACCAGTTTACCAAAAGACATTTAAGAGTGACAGCAAACTTGCGGAAAGAGGCACTCTGGTTAGATGAGACTAAAACTGTTTGCATGACAGCCTGAACCCATCATGCCCTATGTGGAATGATGGAAGAAGAATCAAGCTTTGGGGATGTTTATTTTTCAGCAGATAGAAATTGGGATAGTATTGATAGGAAGCCGGGATAAGCTAAGTTCAAGGCAATCCTGGATAAACAAAACTCCAAGTTTTCCATCCAGCAGGACAATAATCCTAAACACAGAGCTGTAAGATAATGGTTTAGAACTTCACAATTGTGCTGTTAAAACTGGCTGAATTAGCCTTCTTCAACCTTAGCCTGACGCAGGAGACTGTTCCAGTGATGTGGAAGACCTCCTGCCTTGTTCCAGTACCAAAACAACTCAGCCAACAGTCCTTAATGACTATAGACTGTTACCCAGGTCCAGATGGACGAACAAGCAGCTATCAGGAGCCCCTGCAGGCTGATTATCACCGTGGAGTTGAAGATGCAATCATACACCTGCTTCAACAAACCTACTGTCTGTCAGGTTTCTGTTTTTCTTTTGAGTATCCAGTTTTACTTTGCTCCTTGTTTTCTATTTGTAGTGGGTTAATTCTTAGTTTATCGAGTTCTTTGATTCTTTTCTCAGATACTGTCTTAGTTTTGGTTCTGTTATATTTTTCTTTTTAGTGTTCAGTCTTGCTTTACGCATTGTTTTCTAGTGTTAGTGGTTTTATTTTTATTTTGCTGGGTTCTTTGGTTTTTTCCAAGTTCCGGCCCAAGCCGGGGTCCGGTAAAATTTTCTTTTGAGTGTTTAGTTTTCTTTTCTCCATGTTTTATAGTCCTAGTAATTATAATTATTTTGTTGTTATTTCCAGTCTTCCAGGTTTCTTTTTGCTCTCGGCTGCCCTCTTATGTTCTCCTTCTTCCCTAGCTCTTTCCCTGTTTTGTTCTGTGCACACCTGCTCCCAGTTTCCTCATTAGCCCTCTCTTTGTCTCAGTCTCCTTTAAAAACCTCTTCTCTTCAGTTCCTCTTTGCTGGGTCCTCATCATACACCGCCCAACTTCGTTTCTCTGAGCCTTCCTCCTCGAGTTTTTGATTCCCTGATGTCTCCATGGTTTTCTGGTTTGTTTTCTACTTATTTTTCTTATGTTTTGAATTTTGGATTTCTGGTTTCTTGTTTGTTTGGACTTTGTTTTTTCAGTTACTCTTCATTAAATCTACCCTAAATTCACCTCTGCCTGCCGGCCTTTGCTTTTGGGTTAACTAACCATAGCCAAATCGTGACACTGTCATTTAAACAAGGCAGACAGCACTCAGCTACGGTCCACAACAATTGTCTTGATCAAAGTCTACCTGACAAACCAATCCCAGCTTGTAAGACAAACATCAAACTGTCAGATTATATAGTCAGCAGCATAGGAGTACCACAGAGGATGGTATTCACAGCATTCCTTTTTACTCTGTACGGCCTTAACTATTGTACAAAACAGAGTTCATTTACAGAAATACTCGGATAACTGCAGTGGTCTGGCACATTAGAAGTGGACAAGAGCTAAGTACAGAGAGATACTGAACCGCTTTGTAGCGTGATGTTGAGCATTACCTGATCCTGTATGGCACATATGTCAAAGTCATGTGTGCCATATAGGATCTGGCCTGCAATTTGTTTATCCATTGCCCTCTGGATGATATTTAATTACCATTAGAACCGGCCCACAGGCAACTGCCGCTTGTGCACGCTGCTGTGAGTTTGCGGGCTATCGTTGCATTGTGGGGAATGTAGTGTTGGTGCAGTTGTGTTGCAGCACTACATTCCCAGGGGAAAACAAGATTGTGTTTTTATTTTATTTGAATGTTTTTGTTGTGATTTGCATGTTTGGATTGTTTTGGTCTTTGCTTTTCCCCCTTTAACAATTTAACAATCCCGGTATTCTGTGCCTGGCGTGCGGATCCCACCTGCCCCTCGCTCAGGAGCATGTCCGTCTATCACCTGCAGGATCAGCTCCCCTCTCCATACATCCAGGCTCCTTTTATTTTGACTTCAATCAGCCTCTGCTGACACCTGTAGTCTTTTTGATTCTGCTGTCCTTTTTAGTATTGCTCTGCTTTTTGTTTAATAAATTCCTTTTTAAAGAACCTCTGGCTGAATTCTGGATCCGCTGCCGTGATTCATCACAACATTGTTTTACATTTCTTTGTACAAGATGTGATTTTTCTTTGGAGGAAGTATTGTTTTGTCTGTGTACCATAGATTTTTGTATTTTATTTATTCATATTTTTCAGTTGAATCGACTCAGGGAAAAATGCAGACAAGAGCCATGAGAGAGAATACAACTGATTTAAATGTTTTTCTTTTCTTATTTTTCTATTTGAAAGCAGTGATTGGTAGGATCATAGAGCAGCACAGTAATGCATTTCTGGTTTATAATGCTTGCACTTTCCTTTATGTATTTATCTTAATAAGTTTCTTAATATATTGAAAATGTATTGATATTAATATTTTGTTTTAAAAAAAACAGTGTGTTAGGTTTTGGATTAATAGGCTATGTTCATTTCAATATGTTTTAATAAACAGTTAACCAGTCCGGCCCTCGGCTTGTAGCACATATGTTTTTTTGGCCCTCTGTGAATTTGACTTTGACATTCCTGCTGTATAGTAACATAACGAGGGAGATGATTGCAGATAGCAGAAGAAATTTGAACAAGATGAATTCTATTAACATCACTGGATAGAAAGTGGAGCTGGTAGATGAGTATAAATACTTTGGTTTTCACCTGGACAACAAACTCAATTGGAGACACAACTGTGAAGCTGTCTACAAGAAGGGACAGAGCAGACTGTACTTCTTAAGGAACCGTAGGTCCTTCATTGTTTGTAAAAAGGTGCTGCATATCTGCTATAACTATTGTGGAGAACGTGATCTCCCTTTCTGAGGTAAAATCATCAGAGAATGTTTTTGATAAACTTTATATAATATAATAAACAAGGCTCCCTCTGTTTTGGGAACTCTAGTGGAACCTATGGAGATACTTTTACAAAAACAAAAAACATAAAGGACACCTGTTACCATCTCATTCAGAAGACTGTTAAACAACAACAGTGCTCTCAGTCAGAGGATTCTCCAATTCCTGTGTAAGACAGACCGCTACAGAAGATCCTTCCTGCCCACAGCCATCAACATCTACAACAACTCATTGAAAAAAAGTTATGTTATGGCATTTTTTTTATTTCCCTTCTAGATACCAAAAGTGAAACAATTTCCCAATTAAAACAGGCAAAAAATGTCAGTGTCTAAGTATAGATCCTTTTCACCGATGAATCTGCAATTGTAATTGCATCAAAAGTAGACCAATATTTTTTGCTTTCTCGCCATTTAAAAGAAAGTTAATAATCAGCTATGATAGTCAGTTATGCTTAAATAATTATAGCGATAAACAAAGTTAATAACTTTAACAGAGAGAAAAGTGTATACAAATTCAATTTCTCATTCTACTAAAAAAGGGGTGTCTTAAAATGTGACTTAAAGTGTGTAAGTTCTTTCATAAACAGCGACTTAACGAGTCTTAATAGGGGGAAAATACTGGTATGTGCTTTTAAAATTAAAAGACCCATCATGTGGGAAATGATGCAGTTTCTACTGTTAACAGCTTCTCACATGCATATAAGTTATCAGTTTCCTACCTGTTAGAACTTCTAAAAGGAAAATCCTTTGTTTGACTTTCTTCTTTTGTTTCTTTATGAGGCATGAGTAGAGTCCTCCGTCCTCCGCTTTGGGTGATACGAACAGTGAGAAATTCCCCGTGTTCTGAAAGTTGTCGTCAGTCAGTCGGATGGATGCCTTGGAGGCTCCTCCGCAAAACTTACTCTTCTCACTGGCAGAGAGAATCAGCTTCCACTCATCCGCATCCACCGACTTTACCATCCAGTTAATGGATACGTCACCTCTCAGTCTGGCACCGGAGCAGACCAAGGTGGTGGATGTGTTTTCTTCAACAATTACAACTTCATCCCAGTCTGAGGAGGAGAGAGAATGTTTTACAGAAAAAAAGTCCAAACAAGAGAGTCAGTTTTGGTGTTGCACCTTACAAAAATAAACATAAACTCTTTATGTTTTCTCTGCTACAAACCTACTTTATTTGTGTTTGCCAAAATCCAATCTAGTGCAACCAGCTTGGAAGTAGTTTTGCTCAAAGGGGGTTAAAATTGAACTGAAGAGCATGAATGCAAACCTACATATGTGAAATAACAGTAGCAGTGCAACTGCCGCCCAGTCAAACATGATGGTAGTGCTATCATGGTATGCTTTATTCAGCTGAGACAAGGAAGGAAAGTTGGCAGTATTATGAGTTTAGGAATTCTACTAAATTACAGTATTAAATTTTTACTTGTTTGCTAAACTTTAAATTACATTTTATTGCAGTTGAATCTGTGATTTGCAGTAATTAAATAAAAGGCTTTATTGTCATTCTAATGTACATTCAATGTTTTGATTAGCAGCATTGCTTTAGCACCATTTTAATTCAACATTAAAAGAACATTGAGCCTTTAACTAAAAAGCCAACTAAAAAGATGGTTTTCCAACATTCAGAACAAAAACTGAAATAAAGTTTTTCTAGACAACACCAATCTGACTGAGCTTTAGCTAAATGTGAAACAAATTCATTCTTAAATAAAAAAAAAACTGATAAAGATATACCCTAAAAATCCTACATCTGGAAGTATTTCTAAAAAAGTATTGACTCATGGGAAATGAATATAAAATGTAGAAATCACCTTTCAAATGCAGTATTTGCAAAATAAGAAAATCTAAACATATGTTTAGATACAATTGTTTTTCACTTCACTTCGACTTTGTATTGATCTATTATGAGATATCCTAATAAGATAATTGATGTTTGTGGTTGTAACATAGCTTTTTGGGAAAATTAAATTCCAATTATGTTCTATTGTAAGTATGATGACTATGTTAGATAACTGTCCAATCAGGATTGTAAAAGCTGGACTCAATGACACAGACTGAAAAAAGCTGTCCTTGAGCTTAGCCTATCCAGCATTCATCTCATAAACATAAAATTGATCCACTGGAACAAAGATACACACTCATCCACATTCAGGACTTATCACTAAGATAAAGCAATATCTGGTAAAACGGGGACCGTTCAATATGCAAACAAAGTTTCAACTGCAGGATAAATATCTGCTGAAACATACCTGTATGTGAGCTGATGACATTAGAGGAATAAAATACAAAATAAGAGGCAAGAATATACCATAAAAACAAAGACTCCATCACACACTGGAAGAAAAACAATCTCACTGCAGCCGCTATTTCTCCAAAACTTGTGACCTTTCTTAGTTTTCCTTCAGAAAGCCAGGGATTTTGTTCAGCTTCAACATTGGTGATCCTCAACTGATGTGGTAAAAAAGTTAAGTCGTGCATTTTATAGACCCAGAGGAAATGTGGCATCTAACACTGGTATAATCAGCAGGAAAGGAGCTTGACAATTCCAGTTGTGTCTCTCTGTGTTTGCAACTGATAAAGTAAAGTTCCGGTTAAATATACTACATGCAAACATCATAAATAGAGAGCTTAATGACATTTATTCATGCTAAAGCAAAATAACCAAGAATTTGGTTGTAGACTCTGGGATCATTGCATTTGAAGGTCTGTTTTTAGTAAGCTGCATCTGACAATGTTTTTTAGAGTTTGGCAGATCCTTTTATTTCAGACTTTTTTATCAGTCAGTGGAGTTGAATCCAATTTTGTGGTTTATAGTCCAAATATTTCCAACCAGCAGAGGGTCAGCACGCTCAGAAGACTATTTGAAAAGGTTAATAATACACTAGCTAAATCATTGATCAGCCAACTGAAGAAACTTTAGGGTCAATCATTTTCATTTTCTTCCACTTCCTAGTAAAACAGCCCCAGCACCTGTTTATACAAAGATAGCTCTTAATAATAACATTAAGTCCTTTTGATGCTGAGTTCCTCACCTTTCTAACCCAAATAAACTTTTTCCCACAATGGCAAAACAATGCAACATTTTGATCTGATCATTGAACCTTAATGAAAACATTGTCTTTTTAAAACAGAAAGGGAATGAAGCTTTCCTGAGTGTGGATAGTAGCATTAATGTTTTAGTATCCATTCCCTTTGGTGGTTCTTTATTCATCCTAGACATCTGAAGCAATGCACTGACTGCAAAAATCCAAAAGGCAACAACTGATGCATGCAATATACAGTATTTTAGCCCCAAAATTAATAAAATTAGAAAAATTAGACAACTATATATCTGCAGATGGTAGTGCAATTAACTTAGCTATGTGCAGATGGCAGTGTGGTGAAAGATAGCATACAGATGGTAGTGCAATGACGACTGTTGGAAATTTACAATGGTATCAAAGTTTTCTGTTGGAGTCGGAGCATCTGTTAAATGTTGTGTCTGTATGAGTTTACATAACAAGACATAACCTTTGCATGTATATATAACAAAAGTTATATATAATTTGCTCAAAAGTTACATTTTTAGCTTTTAATGCATATCATATGTATCAAACTCAAGGCCTGCGGGGCAAATCCAGTCTGCCACAGCGATAAACTTGAACAAAGAAAAAACTAACAGAGCAGTGTGCTCTTTGTAAATGAAATGATTAAATAAAAAGTTTAATTTACAGCTGTAATTTTTCTCTGATCTGCACAAGCTCAGATTTGTATAAACATTATCAGCACATTCATGCAAAACTGGCTGCATATCTGACAACTAAAGGGATGAAAACATTGCTGGTTTTATTGATTGCTAAGATAAAAGTTCCAATTGATTATGATTAAAATCATTAAAACCTTATTTGATCACCTCAGAATTTCATGCTAAAAAGAGCACTAAGCAATCGTTTAGACTTTTTAACTGCACAAAAGCGACTTTTTAAAGATGTTTCCATCTTCACTGCAGACAGAAGGAAGCATGACTTTTTGTCTCCTTGCTAAATCTGAGCTGGATAAGAGTGATGATCAAACTGCATATGTCTGGACCACTCTTCTTATCAGAAAGATTGACCAACATTCTAATTAGTTGGTTTCCTGTTGGAGACACAACTTTGAAGAATAATCTAAAAATGCCCAAGAGGATGTGAGTCTGGAGATATTTTAGAAGTTAAAGTTGGACTGACTTATCCCTTCCAAAACCATTTTGGTTTAACTGATATGCATTTGGGATTAACTTCTCCTGGTTGTGTCTATCTTTAACAATCCAGGAAACTATATGATTGAAGCAGCATGTTGTTAAAACACAACCATCTTTGGGACAAAATTGGGACATTTGCCAAAAAGGATGTTTGAATAAGTTTGATGGAGTCAAGGTGGTTTTGACCTTAGAAATTGACTGGCTCAAGTATTATTACCCTACAAATCAGCAAAGACCACACATTTCTAGTGTAATGCTTGACTCTTAAGAATACTGAGTCAGCAGTGTGTTATATTATGCAGACTGTGAGCCAAACCTAAATGCAGACAGGTCCTCAGAATAATTATGATCAGGCCTTTGATGATAAAAGTAGAAAGCACACAGGTCTGAAACAGAGAACAGGCCACATACAAAGACATCATTATAATGGAAGAGTGTGGTAAGTAACATTAAAGATCAGGGGACTAAATAATGATGCTGGGATGAAAATACTAATTCAATTCAATTAATAATTACTTTATGAATCCCAAACGGAAATGAAACCTTTCAGTAACTCAAGAGCATTTTTTCAAAGGGTTCTTATGGGTGTTGATAACTGCTGGCAGGAAGGATCTTCTGTAGTGGTCAGTCTTGCACCATATCTGGAGAAGCCTCTGACTGAAGACACTCTGATGTTGTTTTAGAATCTTCTGAAGAAGATGTTGTCCATAATGTTCTTCACTATATGAAGAATTATTCTTTTTGAAATTATCTAAATACACTCTGGAGGAGTTCCTACAACAGAGCCAGACTTACTTATTAGCTTGTTAAACTTATTTAAGACATTTTCTCTGATGCTGGATTCTCCTCATTCCCTCCTGAAGTTTTGTGTTACCTTAAGTTCTGGTTCATGTGTTCCCTGGTCGTTATTTCTTGATTAATGCTTCTGTTGCCACCACCCTCATCATTAAATCTGGAAGAAACCATCTCTGCCTCCTTCTCTCCATTTGGGTCCTCTACAAACCTCCAGCTGTCAACTTGACAGCTTCTTGTCCATCTTTGATGCACCCAATGCAGGTGAACGGACTCTGTGTGGTACTGGAAGTCAGAGGTGTACAGAGTAAAAAGGAAATGTGCTAGTACTGTCCCCTGTGTTGCTCCCCCTGTACTGCTGACTATTTAGACAACTGACCCTTCAGTCTCACAAACTGTGGTCTGATTGTCAGGTAGCCTTCAATCCAAGAACGTACAAGACAGTTACCAACACTGAGCAATTACTTTTTAACTATAATTATGAAAACATAGAAATTAACTAAACATCTAAACATGGAAAAATTGGTAGATCATACATAAACAAGGCAATGATGGAAATAAAAGAAAACCAGAAACAAAAACAAATCATAACACAAAACACGTAACAGGTAGTGACAACATCATGAGTTTGTCACCCTGGTACATTACACAAAGTGATACGCATAGAAAATATGGAGAGTTTCCTCATATTCTTCAACATCACCTTAAATCAACAATTACATGGTTTACCCTTTTGATGAAAGTAGGTAATCCAACATGGCAATAGTCCCAGCATGGTTAGTGTCTGTAATCCAACCAACTTTTGGATCATCTACAATCTCTGATTAAACTTGGAGTTAGACATGCCATCATATACATTCCAGAGAACTGACTGGCAACAATAAAGGTGAATGTGAGGGATTGCTGTCGAGTCAATGACTCAATCAGCAGTTTTTTCTTAGATAGAAAACTTTAAAGCCATAAGACTGTATGTTCTAATTGTCTCTTTAAAGTGCCTATAAGGTGAATTGGCACTATATAAATAAACTGAAATGAATTAAATTGGTTTCCTAGCAATTCCCCTAAGAATATTTAATTAAATTTAATAATAGAAAACTTTAAAGCCATAAGACTGTATGTTCTGATTAAATTGTCTCTGTAAACTGCCCTATAAGGTGAATTGGCACTATATAAATAAACTGAAATGTATTAAATTGGTTTCTCAGCAATTACCCTAAGAATATTTAATTACATTTAATAAAGGTGTAAAAATACTTAATTTTGACCCTATGTGCTTAAAAGAACATCTAAGTCTAAACCTGGACACCAAATTGCTGTTTTTAAAAATGAGTAAAGTTGAATGTTCTATATTTATTTAATGCTGAAAATAAAACCCACACGTGTGTATTTTTGGTTGTGTGAAATGTTAAGGTCTTTAAAATAAATATGTATTCTTTTTCTATTTTTTCAAAACTTTGAAGCCTCAAATCTCCAAAAATAACATTTGACCCTATCAGTGAGATTAAAGAAAGCCAAAAGGCACGTGTTAAATAGAGAGGTGCAACAGAAAGTGAGAGGCTGAAAGATGAAAACTGAAAGACATAGAGAGTTAAGGTTGGTACGGGTACACAGCAACCCCTGGGCAACATGTCTTTACATCCTGTAATTGTCTTCAATTAAGCTAAAGGTATTATCAGCTCCTCAGAGCACTATTACAGATTTTTTCATAATTACCAGTGGGGGTGTGGGGCTGTATGGAGAGATTGAAAAGGAAGGAAAGTAGATATGTATTGTGGGTGAGTAATGACAGAAAAATAGGCAAAAAAAGGAAGAATGGGAGGAAGGAGTAACTCACAAGGAGTACTGATGCAAAATGAGAAACAGAGGGGAGAGGAGAAGTGTGAAAGGGTTTATGAAGGGACCAGTTTAACTTCAAAGGAGTCATAGCAAGGAACTGATCCAGTGCCCCCGTCTCCTTCTCCTCCTATATGAGTAAATAATCACCATCAGCCTTGGTTCAGTCTAATGAATCCACCACCAATGAGCTAATATCTGGGGGGGGGGTATGGCATACAGTAAAATTGGTGGTGGGAAAATAGAAAGTGTGAAGGTCAATTTAGTATGGGTATGAAAATGGATGAATGTGTGGAGGAACAGAAATAAAATCCTTCATTTCGTGGCCACAGTCTTTAAAGCTCCTTATTCTACCATGAATACATACAATTTAGCATTAGCAGCAATGCAATTGGGGCTGAGGGTGGTGGTGCTGACAGTGATGGGGGGGTCTTTACAAGCTGCATTGCCAGAAGGATGCTGCAAGTTTTATCATTCTCACAGCAAAATGTCTTTGCCAATTAAACCACACAACTGTTTGTCTGAATGACAGTTGCTGCACAATCTATGGGTGGGTTAGGAGAGGCGAGCAAACTCAAATTATGCTCCTTTTTCACAGGCTTATGAATCTATAGAAGTAGAAAATATCAACTCAAAGTTTGGTGTATGGGTGAGCAGAACATAAGGTGACCTCTGATTATTATCTGAGACTTTCAAATTTGCACATCAGGAACACTCTCTAGACACAAGCTGCAGAGGAAGTGGGAAATAAGAGCAGAACAGAGAAAGGCTTTCAGAGCTCTTTAAAAAAGGGGACTTGCAGAGATGTAATTACATTGGCTGTAAAACACATGGGTATAAGGATTAGACCTAAACCAGATAATGCTTCTGTCATGCAACACCACATAAAAATGAATATTGTAGAGCATATATCAGGCATAAAATCTGTTCTATATTATTGATAATTTATTAAAAATGCTATACAATGGCTAATTTAAAAATAAACTTTTAGATTTTGGGAATAATCCAAACATGTAAATATGTTGATGTTGGTTTGGGTAATCCTAAGGCACACATTTTATTATGGGCTGCATGTGTATGATAATCTTAACTTAGAAAAAGCTTATATAATAGAATGTAGGTTTATCTCTATTTTTAGGTTGTTTAAGATGTTAAAGCTAGCTAGTTGTGATTCTTACCACTAAAGTAATCGTTAGCTCCCTCATTTTATCCAGATCTGCATACTTATAACCATAATATTAAGGAACTTAAGAGATGTTTACTTAATATGGAAAAAAAGTCTACTGCTGTATAGACCGACCTTTCGTAAAACAAGAGCAGTGTATTTCTTCACATAAACAGATGAGAATAACAGCAGTCCAAGATTAATTTTTAAATACAGTTGCCCAACTCACACAGAGCCATAGTTATATTGAGCTGTCAATTCCAAGGTCAGAGGATACAACTAGAAAATTGATAATCAATCGCTGGCTTAGAGTGTCCTGGTGCCAAATCCACCGATAGATGTCCTAATTAGTGTTGCAATTAGGACCTGCCGGATACCAGTATTGGGCAGGGCCCCAATATTGCACTAAAACGGTGGTATCGGCATCGGTGAGTACCGACAAATAGGGTAGCGATACCATTCTGAGAGCCAAAAGTTTATTCAACTATTGTCACCCATGTCAATTAGGAAATAAAAAGTTCTACTGGATTCACTTTGTATTAGTCTTTTTCCTGCTTAACAAAGGTAGGCTGCAGCTTGAAAAAGCCATGATGGCAATTATTTTACATCCAAGTAGTATGCAGTTCTTCATACACACACACACACACACACACACACAGACACACACACACACACACACACACACACACACACACACACACACATCAATTTAAAACAGATAGTATTGGTATGGTATCAGTATTGGCCAATAGTGCAAAGCCACGTATCAGGTATCAGTATTGGGGCCAAAAAAAGCTATTGGCACAATACTAGTCCTAATGCTTGAACATGCTGCTCATTATAAACAATCCATGACTTCCATGACCCCTCGATGTGTCAGTGTTGTTCCCCAAATGGGTGTTGAAGCCCATAGGCAGAATGATGGAATCCTCCCTTCCCCAAGGCGCAGGAATGTGACCCTCTCATTCATCGGGGTGAATTTCAGTACAAAATGGCTGAGCTGGGGAGAGACAAGCAGACCCATCCCAACCCTCTGCTTATCCACAAAGATTTTCTCCGCAGTAGAAAGTAGTCCAGCCTCTCTCATCTCCTGCACAGCCTCTACTTTCAGACTAGTCTTAAAACTTCCCTTTTTGATAAAGCTTATTGTTAGAGTGACTTAGGTTATCCTGAGCTATCTCTATAGTAATGCTGAAATAGGCTTGTGATGCCAGAGGAAATAGGGACCACTTTTCAGCATTTTGCTTCATTCTATTTCTGTTCTTTAAATCTACATTTTTTTTCCAACCAATAAATGTTTGTTCCACCTACTTTTTCTCATCAGAAACTTAATGTAATGTGACTACAGTGGCGCTCTGTTTAGCTGTGACACCATCCTAGAGGAAGGCATCAGCTGGACTCCTGCTGTCAACAGCTTCAATTAAAGTGTTGACCATGTTTTTCTGTGCTTAGCCCTGTTTCTCTCCAAGACAGAGAAACAATATTGGTTCAGCATTTACTGTCACTAGCTCTATTAGCTCTCTTTATTTGCTTTAGATTAAAACTGGCTAAAAGAGACCTTATAATTCAGCCGATGCATGAAGTAAGCATTCAAAGAATTTATGTAAAAGTAAACTAGTATTACTAGGAACAGGAACTGACTGGAACTGGAATCTCCGTAGGGAGGAGAACTTAGTACTGTTAAAGGTGCACAAATGAAAGCCACTAATACTCTCAGAATCCGGGGGGTTGTGCTGCCTCTGATGATTGATCCCCATGGCTCTGTTTGGATGAGTTTGGATCACTTATTGACTGTTTTAAATCTTAAAAAGGGTTGTGTACAAAGAAGCAGTCAACAGGGATGGGGATGAGATGGGAAGTCCAGAATCCAGGTGAAAGAATCGGTAAGAGGTAGAATCCTGACCTGAAACACAGGCTGATTACCCCAATACCAAGTTGCTTTAATGTATAATTTCATGCAAAGGGAGCCTCCACCAACTATTCTTATTTGCTGCAAGATATAATCATGAAACATTATCTGAAAAAAAAAACTTTAGATGAGTTTCAGCTTTAAATTACATTTCTGATAGAATATCCTTTGAAATAAATGGTTTACTGAGATCTACTTTTGACCTGGAGAGAAGTTAAAGTCTATGGAAATGCAAATTGTTATATTAATGTTGTGAATCAGTTAGTTTCATTTTGTGGAGTCAGTAAATAGATGCAAGAACCATTTTTTTTCCTTTTTTTGTGACTGACTGATCTGACTTTGTGTTGCTTCCCAGATTCCTTAATGGGTGTGTATAGATTTCGAGGGGCATAATTTATATCAGAGGGGCAATTGTGTGCCTTTTTGAAGAAGCAAGCAGCAGGGGGCGCAATAATCCCCTGTTTCATCGTTCGTCCATGAAAGACTTTAATAGAAGACAAAGTCATTTCTGGTGTGGATGTGTTTTCTGGGTGTGATGACATTTACATGGGATAGTTTGAAGTGAGCGTTTAGAATCAAAAGAAAAACGCATCTTTATAAAAAAAAAATGCATCCATGAAAATGTTTAAATAGGTTTAAGATCCAATTTTTTATTATGTGTGCGAAATAGATTATAAATCCCCCATGAGGCCAATATAAACTACATTTTCCCGAACAAATAAATGCAAGACCACTTGAAAGAACACCTGCTGATCAGTTTAGGTGCCATTCCAAGTGAAAGCTGTCATCCAAGTTGAGGTATATGTAAAAAGAATGCTTGAGGCAATTTCAACAAGTTCCCGTGTGCTTCCCTCTTCCTGCATTTGATCCTGCGGTCACTAAGACCTAATTGTTTTTTTTTTTTCAGGGACGGCTGTCTGTGACGCCTCTCTGATGACATCACCCAGTCATTCCCACATACACACGCACACACACTAGTGCGCTCTCAGAGACCAGTTGCGAAGCAGAGACGCGGTGAAGCACCTCATTACATCCTGAGCACCAGCTGCTGCTGCGAGGGGAAATATTCACCTGTGACGAACTCACACGGATTTTAAAAATTCATTTAGACCAAAAGTAAACGGAGGCTCGTCACTCGACTGACATTAATTAAAAGTTTTTTTTTTTTATTTGCCTTCAGTGACACAGACTTTCTGATCAACATTCCATATTTTCTAAAGGTGTTTCATCTGTTTTAAATTGTTCTGGAGAGACTGTGCGCTTTTAAGAGGACCATAATGGCGAGGTTTTACGCCCGAAGTGTGTGCGTAAAAATGATCGGACTGCTCTGCGTTGCGGCGTCGATACTGACCCAACACGGTAAGAAACTATTTCCATTTGAATAGATTTTAGTTCTATTGGTATTTTCTGACACATAAACCACCTGTCCGGGTGATGACACGCTTTGACGCAGGTAGTGCCAAAGCGCTCATTTTAACTACTTTTATATATTTCGGAAAGTTTAGTTAAAAAAAAAACTTGAAAAACATCAGGTCGTATTGTGTAATCAGTATCCTGATTTCCGGAATGTTGCGGAGTTTTCGGTCATTGGTCCTTGACCTGAGTTTCGGTGGTGACTCAACGCCATTTTCATTCTCCTCTAAGGTGTGGCTCCGCTGTGAAACAGGTGTTCTGGGTGCGCGCGACTATCAATCCCACATCACCACTCCTGCCTTTCCTGCTTCTTTCCCCCTCTTTCCGCACTTTATAATCTATTAGTTACACTTCAGTAGAGTAAAAATGGAAGGGAGACAACCCTTCAGATAAAAATGGAGAGAGTTTCACCTACAAGACAAGTGGTTTAAAATGCATAGACAGATCATAGACAACAGGTTATAGTCAATGTCACTGTTTTAGATGTTTGTGTGCGTGCTTGCGCGCGTGTGTGGTGGTTTGCTGTTATTTAGTAACTATTGCCTTAAAGTGACAGTATCAGTCTTGCTTCCTGGCCAAATAAATATTTCAGGTGTTTTCCATCCCTGAGCTCAGGTATCCACAGCTTCACTCTTAAAATCAACTGTTAGAGAACATATGAAATGATTGAATGGTTATGATTTAATTCAATCCATTTTAAGCAACTGTTGAACTAGATCTGTTGAATTTAAGGTTAATTTACTAAAATTCTTCTAGATCCTGTTTTTTTCCACTGATTAAATTCACCCAATGCACCAAATGAACTAAACTTACAGAATAATGTAATACAGAAATACTTTGTTAATGCTGAAGGGAAGCTGAAGGTAGTAGATTTCATGATTGAAGTTTCTTCAGAAGGATATCATGCTTGTTATGAAACAGCCTCTAATGGAAACATTAAGTCTCCTTATTAGTTTTCAGTCTAGAATAATCCTGCTTAATATATTTTTAAAGCAAAGCTGAGGCAGGTTATTAGATTGTTCAAACAAGCTTTATGGATGCAAAGGATCATTAGTGGGCATATCTGCTAGGTCATTTCTTTCAAGACATTAAAAAAATAAACTTTGAGAGAACTAGTCGTCTTTACTAACTTGATGCCATGTAAACCTTTTTATTTTTTGCCTGACAATCATCATTAACCGATGATTTTCGTTGCATGTTTGAGTTTAGCATAAACACAATTTCTGTATTGGTCAAAGCTGGTTTCAAAACTCTTTACATGCTATCTCTGATCATCAGGAGACAGGTGAGTGTGTGTACATGTGACTTAAAATGAATTGGCAGCTTCTACTTAAATCACTGTAAGAAGCCCAGTTTGCTGCAGTATTACCGGATGGCTTGATACAGCCATATCAATTCCAAATTAAGCTGATATTACAGCTTTGAGTGTTGACTGATACTGATTATAAACTGGTACAATATTAGCCCAAATCATACATACTTTTATTACACCATTTCAACTGTGGCATGTTAGAAAACGCCTGATCAGGGGAAGTTACCCAAACAGAGAACAATTGTCCACAACAATGGATATATGAGGACAATTGACCCATTTATTATTAACCAATGGGTTACATCAACTTTTAGCAGAATATTATGCTTATTTTGGAGATTTTAGAGACCAGATGATGCATTTTGATATTAGTTTTTTGGCTGATTTTGGAGCAATGTCCTTCAGTATCGTATTGGGACATCCCTACTTATTAAATACGCCTCTCCAAATGAACCTTTTCAACTGCGGGTTGAATTATCCTGCTTGACTTGTAGGGATGTCCCAGTCCCACACTGGATATCTGTCCGCTATCAGGCGAAAAACTAATATCAGAATATATCGCCCTGCACCTAAAATCTCTCATATTGGCATGCTGATTAAAACACTCTGCTACAGTGTAAAGTTTATGTAACCTGTTGGCTTATCATAGATGGGTCATTTGTTCTCATATTGGTGTGGGCTATTATTTAATAACACTTGATTAATCCTTTTTTCTGACATTTTACACTACAAAGTAAGTTTTAAAGGTATGGATGATTTGCGCTGATATCATATCGGGCCGATATTGGTATTGGTCAGTTCTCAAAGGTGCAATATCAGTATCGAATCGGAATAAAAAAAAAAAAATGTAATTCCATTGATTTGTACTTCATATATTCAGTCAAAAAATAACCCTCCTATTTTTTTTTTTGTTAGACAAAAGATTGACGGACTGCTGCCTAATTTTAATAAAAATGCTTAGTGGGTTTTTTTCCCCCTTTTCATCATTGAACATTAAATTGACAAACTCCTGATTAAGTTAAACACTTTGCAGGCTAATTTTAGCTCCATTCTAAATGAGTATCATTTTTTAATGTTATACATGTACCACCCACCCCTCTACAAAAAAAAATAAGTTACTCTGAGTGGGGCATTCCTGGTATGCAGTTTCATTAGCATATTTGTGTGTGGCATTAAACCAGTTCATCTTTTTTTTTCTTTTCTTTGCTTTGCTAGGCCATCTATTTGTTTTGTGATGTAATTGGGGCAAGAATGTAGGACTAGATCTCACACTCTGGCACAGCTACTGAGCCATTTCTGGTTGGGGGGTAGACTGCAGTGTGGTTGAGTATATGTGCTGTTGTTTTTAAAATCAGGATTCAGAATCAACATCCTTTTATATTTACTTGTTTTTCCTTAGGTTTCGTGTTGTGGACCTGCTTGGTCTGATTTCATTTAGCAGCTCATGAAGTGTTCTTACAGGAAGGGAGAAAAATGGGGAAATAAGACACAAAAGGTTTTACATATTTATGAGCATAGAAGAATACTAGGCTCAGCCGGGACTGCTTTTAGTTTCTCTTCATTGAAAACATTTCATTGCTCTAGATTGAAACCTCTTACTTCCATTTTTGTTTAAATCACAACAACTGTAGAAACAAATCAAACTTTCTTTTGGTCTGCTTTGCATTTTTTCTCTTTCCCTTTCCTGTTGAGACTTTGACAGCAACCACTTACTTCCACCTTAAATCTGCATGCGAGGGCTGTGATTTAATTCAGTTAGTGGTTTAATATGGCTTGGATTCTAATGAAAAATCCAATATAGAGTTTATGGGGTTTTAATTAAGGTTGGCTTGTGTAATATTTCTGTTTACATAAATGCAGAATGCATACCTTAATCAAAGCAGGCAGGTGGGTTCCCAGTTTAAGCTCTGAAATGACTCTGTAATGCCCACCCCCGCCCTCTTACTCCCAAACATTTGAAAGAATCATGGATGTGGGTCAGAAAAGCTTGCCCCATTACCATGGCGATGTTTTTTTAGAAGAAGGGTGGGCTTGTGGGTGACGCCATAGCAGCATTGTCTTTATGGCTGAGTAAGCTGCATGTTTGCAGGGGGGGGGGCTGGATGGTATGCTGAGCTGCCTGAGAAACCGGTGGGCATGCAGGGCGAGCAGTGAAGTTGCTCGGTGGTGGTGGGGGGGCTGGAAAATATTTTTTGGTTGTTATTTAGTTTTTTGTTTACCTGAAAGCTTGCTGCAAAACTCCTTCATATGCAGCCTGGCTCCTAATGATTCTCATCAGGTTCAAGAAAGCAGGTGGATTTTCAGCCCCCCTGCTGCTTTGCTTTGCAGAGACCGAGATAGTGGATTGGCTGGAAAACTCAACAGGCAAAAAGCGATTAAGACAGGAGACCCCCACCCGTCACTAAAAACCGTCCTCTCTCTCTCTCTCTCTCTCTCTCTCTCCCGCCAACCCACCCCCCACCCCCACACCTCTACTGTTGAGCACATAGGGGCCTTGTTCTCGTCTCCCCTCCCGCCTCTTTATCTTTGGCTCTATCCTGTCCACTGCTTTTGTCTGAGTGATGGTAGTCATTGGGTCATTCAAATAGCCTGCCCCTCCCCTCTCCACCTTTCTCACCAGACTCAAGGCTGGCCTGTTTATGACGAGAACAACTTACGCCGCAGACGGACAGGAAAAATAAACCACATGTGACCTCGTCATGGTCTGCTGCCAACACTTAGGATTTATTTTCCCTGCTTAAACTTTTTACTTCGGTTCTACGATCATATCCACTGATATTGTAGTAGTATTTATAAATGATCTGAATTCCCAAGCTTTTCAAGGTAATTGAGCATAACCTGCCTTCTCAAACACACACACATTCACGCACTCAATTTCTTTTGGCAGTCCTTTGTGTGCAATAGCTCAAACTATTACATCTAACTACTTCCCTGCACATGGTGTGAACAGTGTAGTCCTGCCAAGACTAGGACTATTCATCATCACAGCAGAGAAAGAGCACCGTACTCCGTCCATTAAGGGGAATCTAATTGATGGATCACAAGAGGAGATTATTTTTCTTTTGCCTACTTAAAAAAAAAGTCCTTAGTGTCTCATTAGTCCCTGAGGGGTCTTGGTCTTGGTTTGGTTTTTAGCGTTAATGGCTGTCATGGTTCGGTCCTATCATTATGGAAATGAGCTGTCCGATCCTCTTCTGCACAGGGTCTGTAAATGTCAGAAGGATTGTGAAAAGGTCGGCAGTGTGTGTCCATACGTGTGTAAGAGATTCTCGTTCCGAACGTGACTTCCTACTACTATGCATACTTGCAGGTATTAAAGTGGTTTTATTGCTAAAATGACTCTTCGCTGACCTTCTTCTTCATCTTGTAATCACAATTAAGAGCCTGTTGATTCAGACATGAAAGGTGTGTGAATATATGGCATAATGGAGCTGTGGATGCTCACTGACATCCCCTGAAAGTACATCCCTTTATTTTCATTTACACGTATATGTATTCAATTATTTATATTTCTGCAGGTAAAATATGAACAGCTTTAATAAATTTGAAACTATCCCTCGAAGGCAAAGGAATAAACAAGCCCCACTGAATGATAAAAAGTAGATCCTTCACAAAATATTGAGCATTTCACTAA